TGAAATTACAATCTCGTAAACTTAAATTTTGCCATTTTCTCAGATTAAGGGTGACACCCAGTGGCCGATTAAATTATCATTGAATATTTCCTGAAAATGGTTGCTCATATTAGGAAACGTACAACACGTTTTGCCTCTTAGGAAAACTGAAATAAATATTCACATCGGCCCAGCAAATGCAGGAGCCTCTTGCAGGTGTGAGTGGTCTTGAGAAGAGGTCAGGATAAGCCCTTCCCCGTGGCAGCTCCGGCGCTGGGTCAGCGGCCGTGACTCAGTCCCCTACGCCATCAGTCCCTCCTGCCCACCGGGCTGTGGAGCGCAGATACCGACTGGTTTGCTGACAAATGAACCTTAGAAATCAACAGCATGATGGGAGCACTGACTCTTGCTTTGTAACGAGCAATCCTTGTTTTCAAGCAGGACGCCAAGATATTTGGTTAGAGCATGGTGCTAATAACGCCAAGTTCACAGGGTCAATTCCTGCTTACTGCAGGGGGGGTGGGCTCGATGATCTCTCAAGGTCCCTTCCAACCCAAAAGCATTCTGTGATTCTATGATTCTATATACAAGCCGGTCGTTTTCTCACATTTTGGTTGCTGTTTGCAGGGTTTTATTTGTATGCCTCATTTCTGCTATACCTGCTTTCCCTTCTCTACGTCACCAAGGCTCATAGGTGCTCACCAGGCTGATCTGCTGGATGCCAGGCAGCAACAGACCAACGTCCCGATGCAATTAGCGGGAATGGGCTCGATGAGCTTTCAAGGTCCCTTCCAACCCAAAAGCATTCTATGAAACTATTCTAGGAATGGAAAGTGTTAAGAGATGCATAGTGAATTCAACTGGGCTCACTCTTTTGAGGCACCTGAAAAGGCGTGAAAAAAAAAAAACCAAACCCATTCTTCATCAGCTCTACACACCATCGCCTCTCAGCAAAGGCTGCGGGTGTGCCCAGAGGTGAGCAGGCTTCGTGCGCGTCGCCGTGTTGGCAGGCTGCGTCTGCGCCGTCGGCTCTGGCACCCTGGCCTGCGAAAGGACTGCGGGGAAGAGCACGGCTCAAGGAGCAGGCCCAGCCAGCCGTTTTGCAAGTGATGAAAAACGCAGCCTCGCATGTCTGGTGCTCCAGACCCACCAACGGACTAATCAGAATGCCCTAATTAGAAGCGCGCAAACTAGTTTTGTGAGTTTGCCGCTAAGCGCACTGCTGGGCACAGCTGCTCCGCAGCACGGGAGCTGGAGAAGCGCAGGTGCTTACAGGCAGTGCCCGCAATGCCTCCTGCCTGCTCCTGCCCTGCCTGCTCCTGCCCTCGCTCGTGCCTGGGGCAGGTACACGTGGGAGGTGCGCACGGGTGCTGCAGGAGGGCCACCCGAAAACCCGGGCGCTCCCGCGTGCTGCCTGGAGCCAGCAGGGATCCCTGGGCGTACCCCTGACCCTTCCACCTGCGTCGGTGCTCTTCGTTGTACAGCATGTGATGACATGACCGCAACCAATATTCTGAGGGTTTTATTAACACGTATAGTACATATGCATTGTATACTAAATATAGTATGAGGACTGTACAGTACAAATTTATGTTCACAGTTTGACATGACAAAATGTCATTACTGAATTCCCATTGGACTACTGAAGTAGAAACAGTGAAAGTACATTAAACATTCACATCTCCAGTAAGAAAAATTACCAAAATGTCTCTATATTTGCAAGTTACAGTAACGCACACTAGAAACCTTTAATTACCCATTCTTATTAGCTTATAAAATATATTACATTTTATTAAAAAATTTCTGCATAGTTTATACAAGTATTAAAGTAAATATCCCTGCTATTTTTGCAGGTGAGAGATGCTAAGCAGAAAGATTATTTTGACCCTCTAATATTTAAAGTACATTAAAAAAAAGTGCTAATATCTGTAAAATATAATGAAAACTGGTGTAGTCCTCTTGAAATATGTAAAATGCTTTGTAATTTTTTATAGGAAGTATTTGTATTCATCTACGTGTTGCCAACCTTGATAGAGACAACAACATATTTGGACATGATGTGGCATTAGAAGTATCACTGCAGAATGGTGGTGTACATTGAAATAAAACCACACACAGCAATACCTGCTTAGCTTTTTGCGATTGTCTTAGAAACCAGTAATTCATTCTAATCAAATGGCTTAAACAGGCACATTTTAGTAAAACAGTATTACCTGTTACACACTGCACAGTGCAATACTGCTAGTGAAAAAGTTTTTTTTTTTAAATATAAACGTTCTGCTGGATTAGGGTTTGGTATCTTCATATCTAAAGTGGCTTCTCTTTAGGGCAAAGATGGAAGGACTGGCTTTTAAAGAGTATTTAGTTGTGTATATTTAAAAACTACAAGATACCCCTCAAATCAAAGTTTGCTAAAATGAGTCAATGAACCAGTTAAGATGTAAATTCACGTTTTCAGCTGAAAGATGTAAGCGTATTTGTCTTTTTTGACATTGCACAAAAAAAGACACCACAGACACAAGTGAGAAATCCTACAAACAAGGCATTTGCATGAAATAATCTCAAATATTTATATTTAAGTTTCTGTTGTCCTAAATCACAAGGCACGTGGATAAAGATATTTAGAAGTTCTATTGCATCTTCACTGTATTTGTCCCCACCATTAGCAGAAATATTTTCAGGAAAAAGGCCCATAGGCTAATGAATGAACAGGATAAATAAACTAGATTAAATTCTCTGAAGTAACACTTAGTTACAAAGAAGTTCTGCTTTTAGGGTATTTTAGATTTCTAGTTAAAAAAAAAAAAAGATAAGATATTAAAGAAAACATTTTGTGGAAGCCTTGAAAAAGAAACAGAGCATTGGAAAGAAATGTTCCTTAAACATCCCAAATTTTCTGCATTTGCATTTGTTATGCTAAAATGGGATCAGTTGCCATTAAGCTGCTTATTTTTATAGGATCTCATCTGCTTTTTTTCCCTAGAATATAATGGAGAACTGTTTTCATCCCAGGATACTAAGTATCTGTAGACTTGTGACTGATGCTACAGGGGCTCCACACAGTCTCTCAGTCAGGGACATGGCTGCATTTATGAAACTGCCATTAAAACCTAGAGCCTAACGAAGGCAGCCAGTTCAGACTCCACATGATATTGCTGCTGCTGAAAATAAAAAAAAATCCAATGAAATCCCCATTCTAGAACAGCTGCTCATTAATATCATTCTCTTCCCTCCAAGTTCCTCAACATTCGTAACAACCCGGCCTACCAAAAAAAGACCGATTGATCTCCCAGGTTTTTCAGCTCCATAGATAAGCAGATGAGAGCCAGTCACAAGACATATCTGGTGTAACTCCCCTCAGTCCTAGGGAAGCGGTGAGGATGTGTGGTGCTGGAACAGAGCACACCCACCTTCCTCATGAAAGCTTTGCAGCCAGGTTCCCAGCCCTGCTTTGCAAATCTGTTCTCCCCTTTGTAGAGCACACGCTCAGGGCGCTGTTCCTTAAAGAAAATTGCCAGTTCAATGTTCCCGCACGTAAGATTTGTTACACAACTGGAACAATACTTTGCGTTTCACAGCAATCACTGTAGGAGCATTTGTCTCCAAGAAGTACAGATCCTCTCCTTCTCTAATTCTGTGGGTATGTGGATGTCAGCAGAACAGCTGGTAACTCTATCACCAAGGGAAGGCTCTTCACACTCAAACTCCTGCACCTGCAAGATTGTCTGTTTGCCATTGGGCTCCATGGGATGTGGCAGCACAGCCTACCTGCTCCGTAAACTCAAATATACCCACCTGCAGATGGACGCTCCGCCTGCCTCCTCCTGGGGAGTTTTATGAAACTCCTCCTCCCCTCACCCCTCCATTTTCCAGTGGGTTTTTCCAAGAGAAATGAAAATCTGACTTCAGGATGTTTAATTTGCGGGGAATGGTGTTTACCTTACGTAGGGGAAACAACAAAAATGCACCTGGTGCGCGAGAGCCTAGAGAAACACATCCCGTTTCCTTGCAGTGCCACAAAGTCTGCCAGCTAATAAAGACAGAAACCTTCCTTTCAGCGGGCTTCCAGAGGAACATTTCTAGTGTCAACTGCAGGTTGCTTGAATTCAGTTTATCTACCGAGTTGTGTTTGCTAACTGACATGGGAGTTAAGACTTGCTGATGTATTTTAACACAAGACACATCCACAAGAAAGCTTAGACCACCTAGCACTGAGAGACTACCAGGGTCACAAATCAGTTACCAAATGGATGACTTGGTATAAGTTTTTATCCGAAACAGATACATGACTCAATTTATCATCAGAAGTGCTTCCTATCTGATGCCATCATCTCATAAAAATATTGTGGATTAATAATTTTAAATACTGTAGTGTATTAAAGTGGCACTCGCAACAATACAGTTCAGAGCATTTTTAACATAATGATTGCTATTTTCTGAGGTACAGCAAAGAGAAAAAATATTTAGAGTAGAGGAAATGTAGGGGAGTGATTGTGGAGGGATACTCTATATCCCTGAAATGAGGTGTGGTAGGTTTCTATTAATATCATTTAATGCCATGTCATAGGAGAGTACCGTGTGTGTTCCATCCATACACTTGCACAGAAACCAGACGTAAGAGTGTCACACAAGGTCTTCATTGAACAAATCCACCAGGGCATTATGCAATAAAACCAAGGATATATACTACACTATAATACAGAGGACAGATGACATTGGTTTAGATGCACGATATTATGCATGGGCCAATTCCTGCCAATTTTTCTTCTTGACTGGGGTAAATCATACTACGACTTAACCTTTCTGTAAAGTAATTATATTGCTTAGATTTATTTCTACAGTGTTATTCACTGTTCGGGCAGAGGGGATTTCTGAATCAGGTGCCTTTCTAAAACTGTTGTACGAACCATACTGCAGAAATCAACGCACTTGGGAGAGTCCATTCATTGCATTGTTGAGCATAAAATGAGAGTGTATCCCTTACAGGGCACATAAATAAAAGTCTCTGGCAAGGACTAGCATTTTGGATATTCAGTAACATTTACTACTTTATCAGTATATGCTGAGTTGATTATATGAAGAAACCAACAAAAGCTGTTAGTTTACAAATTCCCTTATTCACAATGGAATACATTAAACATACTGTCTGTAGAAAGGGTTTGCTTAGCATCCCCAGGAGAAAAAAAAAAAAAGTGTTCACATTCTTTAGGTCTGACCCGTGGCAAGGACATAGAAGGGTTAGATAACATCTGTTACTGACCATACGTAAGCTTTTAATGGTATAAACTCAGAGATTCAGACCAGCTGAATCCAAATTAAAATGCATGTGTGGAAAAAAAAAAAGTGTGACAGGAATCAGGGACAGAAGACATTCAGACTAGCATGTGGCGTTTTCTGTGAAGAGCAAGATGGTCCGAACGTGAAAAGCTACGGTCACAGTCTGGGCACTGAAAAGGTTTGATTCCTGTATGCTTGCGGAAATGCCGCGTTAGTTCATCAGAACGAGCAAACTTCCACGTGCATCCCTCCCAAGTGCATTTGTATGGTTTTTCACCTGGAAAAAGAAACACAAAAGTGGGGATTTAAGACACAAACACATCAGTTAAATATTTGACAGATTTATCCTCTTGCCTTGTCAAATTTCAGCAAGTACTTTAAGGCTTACTCAAAAAGCCTCCAAACAGCACTGGGCTGCAGAGTACTCCGTGCTAGAAACTGTATAGTCGAAGTTAACAGATCAAAAAATTGTTTCCTGCCACAACTTATTTTTTTATTGTCTCTCTGTTCCTCTCTCTGCCATATTAGCACTTGTTTTGTCTCATCAAGCCCAGAAGTGTGAAGGTTTAAGCATTTGTGCAAGAATTTTCAAAACCAGGACCTCATATTCTAGATTAGTTGAGGGAAAGGACTGGTGTTACATTCAGCACAGCAGGTAGAAATCTTGTTGTGACCTCTTAAAGTTGCTGCAGTATAAATAACTGGCACCACTGTCACAAGTAGCTCAACTTAAAATCTCTCTCAATCACTACTTTCTCATACGTGATCCTCCTTCTCCTAACACCACTGTGCTGCCCAACAGGTAAAGGGCTGGCTTGCGTAGAGACGGAAGACAGACACGAACTGGGCTCCATTTTACCTAAAAGTGTCCCGTATCTTTGTAAAAACCTTGGATGTACATATATTCATTCAGCATGCCAAGGTGAACATTTCTGTGGAGAACAGAGATGGGGATATGTTTATGGGAACACTCACTCAGAAGAGAGCACTGTCAGCCCTGTGGTTAGCATGTCCACGTGAAGCAGATATGTTTGTATTTGGCACACAGTCCAGACTTTTGCAAATGGGCTACTCCCATGAAGTCTCAGTGAAATTTAACAGTGATGTAAGAGGTGAGGTAGTGCAATTTGAACTGATTTGGTGTTTACAGGGTGTGCGGAATGAGTAATCTGCAAGCAACTGGACAGAAATTGAGCAAAGAGCCGGGGAATGTAAAGCATATGAGCATACACCGTAGTCCTGCTGTGCCTTACAGTCTCTTGTTGTGGGTTTTTCCTGCTATAGCCTCTGTCTTTTGCTCAGCCTATCATTACATACAGATCTAACTTTTGTCATTTTGTTATTTACACCTGTGGTCACCTGGCCATTAGCACAAACTAAAAGCTTGGTCTATTCTTTTACCATAGATTTGATGAAAGAAAGGCACAGCAATGCTCAAACCTGTATGGGTTCTTCTGTGAGCTTTCAGATGGGAGCTTTTAGTGTAGACTTTGTTGCAGCCTTCATAATCACACCGATGTATTCTGCGTTTTCTTTGTGTGTCTGGAGATTCCACAGGTAAAGGTCTCTTTCCTGGCTGAACTATAACTGAAGGGTGATTCCTGCAAAGTTAAACTGAATGTTAAAAATCAAAAACATTTAGCACAGCAAACCTCAGCTAATATGATACATGACAGAGCCCTTTATTCATTACCACTCTGTCTCTTGGCAAAAAGAACAACATTACATGCATGTCGAAAAATTCAAGAGGGTTTAGCAAATTTCGTGTATTCTAGCAGTAATATTTTAAAATGTTTACTCACTTTGTGGCATGATGTAGCCATTTTTACTACTCCCTAGCTTTTTTTGCACTTACAAAGGAAAAAAACCCTTCAAATTCCTGTTTTTCAGTCAAACCCAGATTTCTCAAACTCTGAGTTCATAGTGAACTTTCCTTGTATTCGTCCACAATTTTGCTTCTTCCTTCAAATGTAACTAATTCGCTTGTAATTGGAAACAGCTATTCCATATTATTAAAGAAATTGTATCTTTAGGGTTTCAAAGCAGAACTCAATCTTTATTGTTCCAGCCACTCCTTCAGAGAGTAATTAAGAATTTCCTGTTTGGTGCTGGCAGGAGGGTGCGGCCTCCCTATACCGCTGACGTCAATTCCTAAAAGTAGAGTTTAGCCTGTGTGGCACACCCACAGGATGTCTGAAGTTGTCCCTCCACCTTCATAAACATCATTTTTTGCTTTTGAAGCCCACAGGTACAGTGCAGGTAAGACATGTACTAACTACCCATGGACTTCTGTAACAAACAACAACATAAACATTCACACATGTGAAAACACATCGAGCTTCTTTAAAGGCCTCATTGACTGTGGATATTTAGGTTTGAACAACACCCTTACTGTAGAATCAGGGACAACCTTGATTCTTTCTGCCATGTCAATGTTAGAAAAGGAAATAAGTATGTTTGTCAAAAAGGTAAGTGGCATTACAAATCTTGCAACTTCACAAAGTTGCATTTTTTGACCCATTAGCACATCTATATCAGTGCTTTTAATATATTTTTTAGCTCTTAACTGAAACTTCGTATATGATGTGCACCTATTAGTATTCCTTGTTGCATAACCAGCTCCTCCATGTGACAGAAGTAAGCTTTCTACAAATCCCATCTTTTCTCAGTTACTGTATTTCACATTTTTTTACTGATCGAATTATGTTTCATAACACTAGTTACTTAAACCAAGTTCCTTTAGGGCCTAATTTTCAGAAACACTGAATATCTACTTCTCTCAGCAAAATAAAAGACATATGCTAAAGGTCCTTTGGTTAAAACCAAATAAAGAAAGACTTAATCAGGCACAGAAAAGAAAATCTTGTGCATAGTTTAACAAGAAAAAACATTTCTATTACTCTCCACAGCAGCAGGATGGGAATTAGCAATGTGGGAAAAGTTTAATTCTCTTATTAATTCTTTTATTAGCGTTACAAGCTTGAAATTGGGAGCCAATTTCTCTTTCTTGTGTGTTTCTGTGACTGTTGAGTGATGTACTCTTCAAGTAGACATTAAATCCAGCTAAAAATATTGTAATGACAGGACAGCCCAGATGGTGATGTTAGACACAGATGTACACACTCTCAAATAAGAAAGGCAGGCTTTTAAGCTTCCAAAGAAATGCTCTGCTAAAGCAATGCTCATTTTTAATGCTGTTGCATGCTAGTCTTTTTGGAGCTCTGGCTTAGGACAACAAGCAAACCTGGTTTAAATCTGTATGTGTGCAGGCTAGTCCTGGACATAGTAACATCTGGGCAAAGAGAGGAAAAGGATATTGTCTGTACACCGTTTGCGATGGTCTTCAGTCTAAGTGCATGTAAAAAAAGCACCGAGAATTTGTCTCTGTCTCATTTTCCCTGTAGAGGAAAGGAGGCTGGCAAGACTACAGAATGTTATCAATACTCAGATAGGGTGTGGCATTTTTTAAAAATGGTTAAGGCGGTGTCAAAAATCAGAGGTAAATATTAAGTAAGTGCCAATAATAAAAGCACAGCCCTAATTCTTTCATTCCCTCTTACACAACCAGATACGAATTAACGTTAAGTCTAACCATTTGTCATTCTTTAATAGGTAAGAGCATCTTCCAAAAATCATGTCACAATTTCAACAGCTTTTTCTCCTCCTTTACCAACAGACCACACTATGTTGACAGCATGAGTTAGACTTAAAATTATTAAATTATATTAAAATATTATGTTAATGAGGCTTCTTATATTTGGTCAGAGATTATTACCTC